TTTGAGTCTGGGGAGATTGATGTCAGGTTTAGCCCAAAGAACTCCAAGAGATAATGCAAATTCAGTTCTACTGTGTTTATTAGCTACAACCTCTAGACAGAAAATCCCTGAGCCTGGCCTTCATAATTCCATTCCATCACAACTTACACAGTTTACATCCATATTACCCGCAGGCTGCCTATTCTCGTTCCTGTTACCGCACACTCTCAGATTTCAACAGGACATCTTTTTCAGTTCCTATCACATTTATATTTAACACTGGCAGTTACTTCAGCTTTCCATTTCAGTTTTGTAAAAATTATTCCTTCTAAAAGTGGTTTATTTCATGATTGGATTCTGAGTCAGTTTTTTTATTCTTGTCATTTTAAGGCAAGTAATTTTTCTGAATTGCATGTGGTTATGGGTTGCTAGTATTAACAAAAGCCCAAAACCGATGTAACACCAGATTTCTTTTCCAGCATTTTTTAAAGTTAAAGCAGCTTCAAATGGACCCAATCTATATTGGAACAGGAGTGCTGTAAAAGGAATGTTGAGTCATTTCCCCCTGAATTATTTTTCTGATTGAAATCCTTCTCCTAAAAACTGTTATTCTGTTAAACACTGTGCATATATTCAGTCTGCAGGTGGGAACTCATGAAGTGCTACTCACAGAAACAATTTATGACCAGAGGGGTGCCGCCGCCGCCTCCTCCTCCTCTTCCCCCTCCCCCTCCTCCCCCTCCTCCTCCTTCTTTCAAGCCAGATTCCTGGTAATTACACAAGAAAAAAGGAGTATCTCCTTCCAGCTGGGCTCAGCTAAGGTTGACTTAATGGACATGTCAATGAAGTCTTCTAGGCAGAACATGGAAGTGGTTTAACAATGTCTTCTGAGATGTTTTTCAACTTCCCCGTTTAGCCTAATATCAGACCTTGTGACACTAGCAAACTCAGAAAACAAGAACTTCTCCCACACGATTTTCTCAAGATCTGTTAGGCATTCTATCATACCTAAAGTTCTGGTGATCTTCTATTGAAGTACTAACCAAGTATTTGTTAACCAAGTAACCAAGTACAAGACCAAACAAGACTAGCCAGGTACTGAACCAATCGTAGAACCTGGATTCAGATTCCTATGTAGCGATGAACCTTCTTGGGTAAAGCGCTGTTTCTGAGTCTCACCTAAGTCACTGGATGGTTTTAATTCAAAATTGGATCTAAAAGTATGTTTCTCCAAGATCCTCAGAAATGTATGATTGCATTTCCATTTGATGTTGTTGTAGGCTGTTTTGGAAAGTAGCTGGCCATCAAGCAATCGAAGTGGCTACTTCCTGTGGACAAAGATAAGAAATGTCATCTTAGGAATAGCCCAGTTTAAAAGAGTTCTAAGAAAACAACCTGCAAATGGCATCCACAAAACTCTTTCTGGTAAATCATTCTATGTACCTTCTGTTTTGTAACTGTAGGAATGTTTTTACTCTAGATTGCTAAAATTACATCCAGTGTTTTCACTTGTCGGTTATGATAGAAGTGGCCTATGAGCCTAAATAAATAAATAACTTACTAGCACAATGACAGTGCTAAAAAAGAATTGAAAGTAGCGCTGTAGATTATTCATATATTAAAATGATTAAATATTAATTGCCAGTAAAAATGACAGAACAGTGCAGTTAATGCTCTAATGGAAGCATGTGTCATTCAAAGAATAAAAATCTTAAATGCAGCAAGCCTTTGGGAATAGCCTCTGTCTGAATGTTGCAAGACAATTTCAGGCAAACTGGAAACTCTCCCAATCTATAAATATTAATGTCCACTTCCTGTTTGTGTACCTTTCCCTTTCTGGTTTCTGTTGAAGCTGACGATTCCCTCTTGAACAAATTAAAGGCAAAAGCATTAGAGAGCCTTATTAGCAGTAATAAATCAAATTGCACACATTACAGAAACGAAGGTAGTAAGATGAAACCAATGTCCAGTATGGATATAAAAGTAAGGTGGCAGGGTTGTGTATGTTACACAGAATTAACTATTGTTGGATTGTATTCAGAAACATGAAATACAATCTTTGCAATAAAACAGGCAGAAGTAGTAAAGAAATAGACTGTTGCACATGAATGGCTAGTGGGCATTTTCTGGAGAACAAAGTACATCAGGGATTCTAGGAAAGGAAAAACAGATCATAGGCTTCAGCTCTAGATTTTATAAAGATTTATTCATCTCTTAGACCTTTATCCTGATCGTTGATTGGGTCCCCAAAGGTGCTCAGAGTATTCATTAAACAGAATTCTTGGTGATCTTAAAACTTCAAGTTTAATTGAAACCATAAATGAGATTGGGTGAGAGTGGGTGAAGAGAAGAGGGGAACAACTTGAAAGAAAGGAACAGATGCACAGAAACACACCCACACCTCCTGCAACATTTCCTCAGTGCTTAAGGAAAGTATACCAAAAGGAATAGCTATGAGCTAAAGATAACGCCATGCTGAAGTAGGTAGACTTTTATGGCCCTTCCCATATGGGGAGTTATCTGTGGCTTTAACTTAGCCCATCAGATAATAAATAATATAACTGGGCTAAACTTTAAAACACTCATTCAATCCTGAGGATTCCTAGGGATCTCCCAAGCACATATTAACCCAGTGTGATGCTGATCAGCTTGTTTCAAGATCAGGGATGATCACTCAGACACTGCTGCCAACAGGGCTGTCTCTATGAGGAATAATTTTGAGTTCTGTTTAATGAATTTCATCTTAATTTCATCTAAATTCTATGGAAATCAAATAGGTCTTTTGTCCTGGCTCCATTTAGAGTCCAAGTCTGAAAAAAAGTAGCACGCTTCTGATCTAGGGAGCCATGTTTTATTAAGTTTCAGCTAGGACAGTTTTTCCTCCATGCAATAATTGAAAATAAAAAAAGTTACACAACATCATCCCCTTATTTGGGGATTTATGTTACACTGTTTAGGATATGTTTGATCATCCTTTTAAATTTATTTTATTTGTTTTATTTTGATAGGGGACCATTCGGACCTCTTATATAAGTTATCTAAAGAGGCAGTTAAACAAGGAAAAGCAAATGTTCAGAACAGTGGTGACCAAAGAGATGAGAAAAAAGAGAGTGACTCAAGTTCCTGTATGTACCACATGCAATGCAATTTAATTTGATTCTTTTTTATATTCAGACTCGATTTGTTTTAATTCCAGCCATGGTTGATCTTGCCATCTCGTCTGAAGCTTGTTTTACTGTTTGGTTTCTGTGCTGTGTTGCACTGTAGGCTACTAAAAAGATTTGTAATATTTCTTCCTCCTTGCTGCCATAGATCATTTTAGTTTCCAATAGTGGTATTTCAGGGTACACAAGCAGAGTTCATGGGGATCTCTCATACCTCACAGAAAAACCAAGCTAGGTTTCATGTTACTTATTGACATCCGTAAGAAGAGATACAAAAACACATCTGTTTTGTCACTCAGTGTATGCTCAGAGGTAGATAGATCAGACCCATATTTTTGGTTATTTTATATGTTCAGTTTTGTGGCTTTTGTTATTGTTGTAGTTATATACTAATGCTCTTTTGAATGCAGTTAAAAATAACAGGTATATTCAGCTATGTGGCAAGATAATAGTCACCATTCTGAAGCTTAAGATTTGCCCCCCCTTTGAGGTCTTTCCCAGGTTTTGGGCAAGGACAAGGAGGAGACATTTTAAAAGAGCTGCTTTTTTTCTTATTCTTCCATTCTGCTCTCCCATTTATTATTAGCTAACTACTCACTGGAGAAACATACACAGTTCAGAAATACCGTTTCACAGAACTTATAATTGGAATGATAAATATATGTTTGGCAACAGGGGATTTGATTCTTTTATGTGGTTCTTTAGATAGATAGATAGATAGATAGATAGATAGATAGATAGATAGATAGATAGATAGATAGATAGATAGATAGGTAGGTAGGTAGGTAGGTAGGTAGGTAGCTAGGTAGGTAGCTAGGTAGGTAGCTAGGTAGGTAGACAGAGAGACAGAGAGACAGGTAGGTAGGTAGTGTTAAACACG